CCACCCAGACCTCCCCTCCTCACCTCCCATCTCCCACCAGCCTTCTGTCCACCCAGGATCTGGACCAGAATCAGGCAGGGGGGCTCTCAACTCAGGACAAAATGTAAGAGGACACTAAGAATTTCACTATTCAAGATAAATAACATTTTAATGTAATATTTCTTAAAAATTGAAATTAATGCAAAACAAAAAATCAAAATTTGAACTGACCAGGCTGTAGCCAGATTTACTGCAGTTTAAAGAGAGGCCAGCAGGTCCCAAGCCTCGAATTCACCAGATGTCTCTGCTAAGAGCTAGTGGACTTGTCAGGGTGAGTGACCAAGCTCAGAGGCATCTTTGTGGGCTCCTCTCAGAACTATGCCTGGCACATGAGTGGAGGGTGACCCTCGTCAATTAAAAAGTGCAGATTTGTAGGGCGGGGCACGGTGGCTCATGTCTGTAATCCCAGCACTTTGGAAGGCCTAGGGAGGTGGATCACCTGAGGTCAGGAGTTTGAGGCCAGCCTGGGTAACATGGTGAAATCTCTACAAAAGCACAAAATACAAAAATTAGTTGGGTGTGGTGACACACACCTGTAATCCTGTCTACTCAGGTGGCTCAGGTAGAAGAACTGTTTGAACCTGGGAGGCTGAGGATGCAGTGAGCTATCACACCACTGCACTCCAGCCTGGGTGACAGAGCGAGACTCTGTCTCAAAAAAAAAAAAATTTAGATTTATTCCCCATATTCCAGCCCAGCCCTCCACAGCTCAGGAAGCAGGGACAGGCAGCCCAGAGGGTGAGAAGACCAAAATTCCTTCCCTTCTCTCCTCTCCCATGGGACCCACAAATGGAGAAGTAACTGAGAAGTCACTTCTGAGCCTGATTGCAGAGTAACGGCTTGATCACTATCTCCTTAGCCCAACGGACCAAACTCTCAGCTTATCTTCTTGACTGTGGGGGGACTGGCCAGGTCCAGCACCTAAAAACCTGGTTGCTGGACTTCAAGCTTGAGACCTCCCTGGTGGTGGAGGGCAGAGGCATAGACCCCCATTTGCCATTATTCTTCCTCATCCATTGGCCCAGGCCAGTGGCACCATTTCACTCGGTGGTTCAGATGACCAAAAAGGTTGAGTATTGCAGGCTGGAGTGCAGTGGCACGATCTCGGCTCACCACAACCTCTGCCTCCTGAGTTCATGCTATTTCCCACCTCAGCCTCCCCGAGTAGCTGGGGTTACAGGCACCTGCCATCATGCCTGGCTGATTTTTGTATTTTTGTAGAGATGGGGTTTCACCATGTTGCCCAGGCTGGTCTTGAACTCCTGACCTCAGGTAATCCACCCGCCTCAGCCTCCCAAAGTGCTGAGATTACAGGCATGAGCCACCATGCCCAGCCTTGTCGTTTCCTTTTACAGTTGGAGAAACGGCATCTCAGAGATTTTAAACAAGTTGCCCAAGGTCACACAGCAAGTAGAGACAGGCCTGAACTGTAGGCTCCCAGCCCCTCAATCACCCAATAGCTGTGTTTCCCTAGCCTCCTCTCATCAACCTCCCTCCCAAACAAACCATTCCCTCTCTCACATTGACCCTGTTTTCATTGCATATAAACCCTGGGCAAAGATATTCCAATGACCTCACTGATGTTTTCTGTCCGATTTAAAACCAGAAATAACATGTTTGAAGGTCTGCCATGGACCAGGCACTATGCTTCATTAAAGTTTTTACATCTGTTGCTTAACAACCACTTAATCCTTAAAAGTCATCCTATGAATTGGACATTACCATCTCTAGTCTACATATGTAGTACAGAAGTTCAGAGAAGGCAAATGACTTGCCCAAGTTTGCACAACTAGTAACAAACGATACATCAGATCCTAGTCTGTCTGACTGCCAAATCTTTGCTTTCTTTGATACACCCAGATGTGTTACCCCAAGATGATCTCGCCAATGATGCCAACATTGTTTCAGCATCCATGGAACCCCAAGCCTCTGGCTTAATGTTTGCGTTTATGTTCATAGGGGTTTCAAACTCTGCCTCTTGTTCGAAGATTCAGTCCATCCTGTCATCATGCAGAGGGTAGGCCTTGCCATCTTGAGAGGCAGTGTAGGGTAATGTATAATTGTGGGAAGTAAAAAAGTTCCTCTTTAAAGTTTCCTTTCTTGTTAAAGAATAAGTGTGCTTATAGCTCTTTGTTAAGCCCTATCCTATGTAGCTGTTAAACATGCCATGCTTACAGGCACGTAGTACATTCTATGTCCTTGTACTTTAACCAAGATATCTGTGCTGGACGTGCTCACAGGCATATCCCAGTTCTCCATTGCTTTTACCTGTTTAGAAAAGTTTTAAGTTGTTAGCCAACTGGGTTTAGTTTAGATTGTGAGGTCTGGCTCCAGCCAACAAAGATCTGACACAGCAGTAAGGACAACCCCAAATGCATAAGGGATAAATATGTCTGTTTTCCTTTGTTCATTGTACTCTCATGGCAAGATGGCTAGCGAGGGTACCCTCCCTGTAGTTCAGGAAGTAAAAAAATCACAAGTTCCAGGATCAGTCCCTCTGTGCCTCAGTGTTCTCATCTATAAACTAAGGATAATAACAAGACTTGCCTCTAGTGAGATCAGCTTAAATAAAGGTCTCAGAACTATACCTGGCACATGGGTGGAGTGAGGGTGGCCTTTGTCTATGAAAAAGCAAAGAGTGTTGTGCTGATTGAGTCCCTACCCTGTGCTTTGCACTGTGTAAGGAACTCCAGGGGTTCGATAATAAAGAATCTCGGATAATTTCACAGAGCTTAGTTAGCATCTTATTGGAGAGAAAAATCCGCACACAAACCTATATTTTGGAAAATTAGCCCAGTCTCCTTATTTCATAATTTTTACTTTTTAAGAAAAACTACCTTTTTTTTTGAGATGGAGTTTCACTCTTGTTGCCCAGGCTGGAGTGCAATGGCATGATCTCGGCTCACCACGACCTCGGCCTCCGGGGTTCAAGCGATTCCCCTGCCTCAGCCTCCCAAATAGCTGGCATTACAGGCGTGTGCCACCACACCCAGCTATTTCTTTTTTTTGTTATTTTTTAGTAGAAACATGGTTTCTCCATGTTGGTCAGGCTGGTCTCGAACTCCTGACCTCAGGTGATCCACCCACCTCACCCTCCCAAAGTGCTGGGATTACAAGCATGAGCCACCATGCCCGGCCAAGAAAAACTGTTTAATGACTGTACAGTGTGCTCCTATAAAGTGCACTGCAGTGTGGATTGCTCGGGGACTCTTCACAGTGAATGCACCAATGTAAACATGTCTAGTTCAAGATACAGAATATTACTAGGAGCCCTGCAGCCTCCTTCATGACCGTTCTTGATATTCCTCCCCAAAGAAGATCTCTGTGGACTAGAAGTCAAACTTCTGTCAACGCACACACCCACAGTGGCAGAGATTTATGAGGAACAAGACAAGTTTACCTACCATTTAGCACAGAACCTGGCACCTAGTAAATGGGAAGTATTATTACTCTTTGTGGTTAGTATTGAAATAAGGGAAGTAATGCCTTCACACATCAAAATATAAAGTCCAATAGGGCAGGGAATGAAAGTTCCACCTCAGCTGCATCCTCACAGCACCCACCACAGGGCTGAACCCATAGTCCACCACCTGAAATCAACAGATTCTCATGGAGCAATAGCCACAACGGAGCTGAGTTTGAGTCCTGTCTCTTTCCCCTCTTACTGTGTGACCTTAGACAGTTAGCATCCCTTCTCTGTGCCACTATCCAAAAAAACCGAGTCTTCGTTTTGCCCTTCTCTGAACCCCCAATCCTATATGAAGTTCTATGAATTGGAGGCATTCTGGAGAAAAAATGGCATCAGACCATTGAATTCTTTTCTTCTGCTGACCTCCCTAGTAGAGAAGGGTTGAGAATGCCTTCCTCCCTCCCTCTTGATTAAAGCTCCCTCACCTCCAGCTGGGCTGGAGTCTTGTGTCCCAAGATGAACCCAAGAGCGAGACAGTCTGTCTTGCCTGCCCTCTGTGCTTCATCCCCGGGTGATCCTGAGGGGAGAATAGCCAGCACTTCCAGCTGAAAAACCACGAGGGTTAAAGGAACATGCTTTGGAGCAGACAGAGTTGAATTTCAACATTAGTTGCATTTTGAGGTTCAGCCTCGGGCAAGTCTTTTGACAGGTCCTAACTTCTCTTAACCATGGTTCTGTAAAATAGGGATAATAATTATTGATCACATGAGGCAAGGTGCCTACCACAGCACGGGGTATGTTGTGGGTGCTCAATGAGTGATAACAACTAGTAGATGTTTTTATGCCTGTGTTACAAACAATCATATATCCCAAGTGCCAGGGGACTATGTCTTGTATTTTCAGGCCTCATTCAGAATCTGATGTGTGGCAAGCTGTCTTATATCAGGTTTTCCCAGAAGGAGGTCCTGAGACAGGGAGCTGCATAGAAGTGTTTATTTGGGAGTTGCAGACACTAGGAAGGAGCAGAGAATGCAGATGAGGAAGGGAAGGTGGCCCATAAAATGCATGGAATAAGGCCAGCTACCACAGCAGGCCACTGGGAAACGGTGCCCAATACATGTTAGATTTATTCCACTTGAGGGGCCTGGGACTGGGGTACACTCACTCCCGAGAGTTGTGGACTGTTCCCAGGGACATGTTAATTTCCTTACATATCAAACCAAGTACAGTTCTGGGGTTGGAGAGAGAAAGAGAAAGGGCCTTTGGGTAAAAAGGCACAAATTGGGCCATTGGGAGTCCACCCACAACCTTGAAAGGTCCTGGCAACACCTATGCAGGGACCCAGAAATCAGGTGTTCTATGCAGGGAGCTAGCTGAGCCCATTCCACCATCTCTAAAAGGCTCCATAGACCCAACCCCACCCTCCATCCTCCTCCTCGAGGAGTGATAGCTTCTGACCCTTCTCTGAAAGGTGTGGTGTGTGGAGAGATGGTAAGGAAGAAGCTTCCACGAGGGCTAAGCAGAGTGGATCAGCAATCAGAGGTGAAAAGAAATTTCAGTAAAAGCCATTTTATTTCACGGAGGTGGAGGGAGATGGCAAGCAGAGAGGGGCGGCAGCTGCCCAGGAGAGGGCAGCTCTGAAATCCCGGCTGGAACCAGCTCAGTAGGAACAGACGAAAGGAAGGCTTCTGTTGCAGGGGGCTCGACGCCAGTGACCTCCTATGAAGGCAGAACAGAAAGGGATGTTCAGCCTCTTGTCCACCCCAACTCAACCCACAGGAGGGCCCCTTCTCCCACCCACATACTGCCATGGAGTTGGAGTATAAAAGACCCAGGAAGCCTCTGATCAAAGGGTCAGGCTCTTCCTAGCATCCTCCTTGGGGCACTTCCCACCTCCCAGGCCTTCCCATCGTTCATCCCCAGCCCCACCTCACCTCGGGTACACAGGGCCACACAGCGACCACCACGGACTGAGGGCTGGCCAGCAGCCCAGAATGCAAAGTTCCAGTGGCTGCCATCAACCCACCAAAAGCGTCTGCAGCGGCCCTGGAGAAAGCAATAGAGGAAGAGGGGATGGGGCTGAGGGAAGGCAGAGAGGCAGACCTGGCCCCATATCTGCCAGCTCCTCCTGCTGCCCACCGGGCAATGGGCCCTTCCCTGCTGGACCATGATGGTAACTGTCCTGGTCATCTGAAATGCTGATCCATGGCAATCATCACCATCAGATTCTATGCATCCCAGTGATGGGCTCATCCTTCCAGCTCTAACGAAAAGTAGAGCAGGGGTTGCCAACCCATCCTAGAAATGAGGGAACAGACTCATGGTCTTGCCCAAGTTACATAGATAGTGAGAGATGGAAAGGAACTTGTACCCAAACCTCTGAATTCTAAATCCTTGGATCTTCCCTGAATACCCAGGCAGCCCCCTCAATTTTGTCTGTGGGTGTCCATCTGGTTCTTCTGGAGATTATAGAGGAGAAAAACAGGCAAATCTGCCCAAGTTGAGTGCTGGCTGAGATCAGCAGGTGTTCCCCATTAGGTGCTCACACCTGTCTTACCGAGCCTATGATCCTGCCTCCAATCCAGACTTGACCCTGGTTGAGCCCTCTGACTGAGAGGTGGATTCGGGAATTCAAATTGAAGCTGTGGATGGACACGAGGTTGCCCCGGTAGCACCTCTGGCAAGTCAACTGCAAGGCAGGATAAGAGACAAAGAATAGGGCAGCCTTCCTACATAAATTCACATGAGTCTTCAGTCCCCACAATTCATGCCCTCCCCCACCCTGCCACAACCGTTTGAAGGTTGGAGACCAAAATGCAACTTCTGTTTCTAGGTGGCCCTCCCCTCTCACCCCAATACCTCTGTGAGGCTCAGGTTCTACTGACACCCCCAGGGCGCTCAATGGGGAAAAGAGCCAGTGATAGCAATGCTGGGGACATGTCCCACACGCCTTTCATGCTCCCACCTCAGCCTCAGCCACAGACCACTCACCTGAGCTTGATTAAACCTTTGAGGACTTCTCACCAGGAGGTAGCGGCGGCAGGTCTGGCGCCCAGGGACACCCATCAGTTGTACTGTGTCCTCTTCCTTAGGACACGGAAGGTTTTTGTCTGCTACATCTGGGACTGAGATCGACTCAACAGCCCCGTCTTCCTTGGAGGCATCTTCACTTCCAGAGCCCCCCTCCTCCTCTGCCTCCAGCTCCTCCACCTCCTGTTCTGGCATCTCCTCATCCTTAGGCAGGGTCTTAGCACCCAAAAGGCTTTCAAAGTAGGAAGTCTCAGACCCTGGCAGGGAAGATGGCCAAGTGTCCTTCCTTCACATCTCCCCTTGTCCCTCCCTGGAACCACGGACAGCTCCCACCTTGCCCTGGGCATCGGAGTGCTCAACCCTGCCTGGAAAGAGGAACCTGGAACTGAGAGAAACCCAACGTGCCCAACAAAATCAAGGTGGTTAAGGGCATGGACTTAGAGTCGGGCAGTCATGGGCTTGGGTACTGGTTCCATCATCCATTAGCTTCATTTCTTCATCTGTAAAACGGGTATACAATACCACCTACTTCATGGGGATGCTAAGAGAGTTAAAGAAGAGAAGGCATGGAAAGTGCTGTGTACTCAGTAAGCTCAAAGTAAGCATCATGGAGAAAGGACAAAATTGGGAATTTCACAGTAGAACCAAGACCACAGACATAACAGATGCCCTGAGGAATCCTTTCAAGTCCTGGTCATAGGGTCCCCATCCCTTTAAGGGCACAGAGATTCAGAAATAGAAGACGATCAAAGAAGGGGGTGGGTGTGTAACTCTGACCCCATCTACTATAGAAAGGAAAAAAATAGAGAAAGAAAGACTAAAGGCAAAAATCTTACTCAGATGGAGAGCAGAAACTGCCCCAAATAGGAGAGCCAGAAGTAGGGGGAGTTTCATCTTGGCTTTATCCTGCAATGGAGAACACAGTTTATCATTGACACACACACACACACACACACACACACACATATCATATGACATCACAATCACACCATTAGGGGACCGTGAGAGTGAGGTGGAGAAAAAGAAGGTCTGAATAGAAATCAGGATGGGCCAGAAAAGCTCATGCTGAGCCCAGCTCCTGATGCTCCAGAACCCAGGATGCAAGGACCTCTTTCTAAACAGAATGCAGCAAACCCTGAGGGGTGGCTGAGGCTGGCTTTCCTTCAGTCCTGGAAGTAAAGAAGGGACTATTAGGCTTATATATTTGACTTAATGGGTCCCTCAGAGTCTATGACATAAAAGAGGAGGGAGAAGCAATGATTATTGGTTTTCCTAGGAACACACAGGACTTAGAAGCTATGTCCCCTCCTCAAAGCTCAAGAAGCCACCCATGCCCTCCTCCATGTCCTCCACCCTCTCCCTTCTCCAGCCAAGGGGCATTTTCACATCTCACAGAAGAAATGTGCAAGGCAGAGGATGAAGGCTGCCCCTGCTGACATCCTTGTAACCTGAAAGCCAGTCGCAGACCCATGCCAGCCCTCCAGAGACTGTCAGCCACAGCCAGGGACCCCCTGGGAGAATAAACTGTTATCAGCTCCACCACAGCAGAGAAAGCAACTCACCCAATGAGAGACCGTCCTGGGCCTTTAGATCTTCCCAAAGCCCAGGTTCTTCTTTGCTCTCTCCCACAAAGACGTCTTATATAGAGGCCTTGGAGGAACTTCCCCCAGGGAGAGAGGGTTTGCCTCTGCTGGAGGGAGATAGGAAGGCTGATAAGGACCATTTCATCTTTCATCACCTCCCTGGGGAGCCCACTCATTCAGTGAAGATTTCTCCCCCGATCCCCCTTTTCAGGAACCCAGGGGCCATCTAGGACAGCTCTGGGCAATGGTTCTTATCCTGGGCTACACTTCAGAATCTCCTTGGGTGCTTTTCCAAAATACACATGTCCCCTGCTTTACTGGTGTTTTGAATTGCCACAAACATTTTGAGAACAAATCTGTCCGTATCTATTAGAATTAAAAATGCACAGTGGTTCATGCCTGTAATCCTAGCACTTTAGGAAGCTGAGGCAGGCGAATCACGAGGTCAAGAGATCGAGACCATCCTAACCAACACGGTGAAACCCCATCTCTACTACAATACAAAAATTAGCTGGGCTTGGTGGTGCGCATCTGTAGTCCCAGCTACTTGGGAGGCTTAGGTGGCGGAATCGCTTGAACCCGGGAGGTGGAGGTTGCAGTGAGGCGAGATCATGCTACTGCACTCCAGCCTGGCAGCAGAATGAGATTCCATCTCTAAATAAATAAATAAATAAAATTAAAATGCACGTTTGATCAATTTCACTCTTTGGAGACTATGCTTTAGACATAAAAACACCTATAAGTAAGAAAACTTTTACAGAGAATGTTATTGCTTATTTGTAGAAAGGAGAATAATCTTGATATCCATCAATCAGACACTGAATAAAATGTGTCCTTTCTATTCTACAGAATGTTATACGGCTGTCAAAAGAAGGGCTGGACCTGTGTCTATAAACTGAAAGAGATGTGTGTGCAACATTATGAAGTGAAAAAAGGCGAGATACTGAGGAAAACATTTAATATGTGAATAGTTTTACAAGGAAAAAACCCCGCATAGGTGCTTATCTGTGAGCATGCTTATGTGACCGAATGGAGCTGGAATGCTAAGAGGAATCACACCAGGTAGTTGACCTTGTCACCTCCAGAAGCAGGGGAGGAGAGAGAAGAAAGTGGGAAGGAGATTGTTGTTTATTTTCTTTTTATAACTTTGCATTTCTTCAGTGGTTATGGTAAATGTGTGCTGAATCTGTCATTTTGAGGCTGCCTTAGTAAACACTTAAAAACATATACAGATGCCCTGCCTGGAAACTTCTGATTGGCTAATAGATCTAGAGTGAAGGTCAGATGTCTGCATTTTTTAAAAGTTTCCCAGCTGACTGATGAAAGATGGGTCTGGAAGTCACTGTCCTGAGGATCTTCAAGCACAGGAAGCATTCACATACATCTAACTGCTTTCCTTCTGAATCAGACCATTCAGTTGGCCAACCTACCAGCCTTCATTAGGGTAACATTTACTGAACATTTCTAAATGCCGTGCGTGGCAAGTGGCTAGGTGCGATGCCTCACGCCTGTAATCTCAGCACTTTGGGAGGCTGAGGTGGGTGGATCATTCGAGGTCAGGAGTTAGAGACCGGCCTGGCTAACATGGCAAAACCCCATCTCTACTAAAAATACAAAAATGAGTCAGGCATGGTGGTGCCTGCCTGTAATCCCAGCTACTTGGGAGGCTGAGGCAGGAGAATCACTTGACCCTGGGAGGCGGAGGTTGCAGTGAGCCGAGACGCACTACTGCACTCCAGCCTGGGTGACAGAGTGAGACTCCGTTTCAATAAATAAAGTGCCATGCAAGGCAAGTATTACCTCATTTAACCCATTTTTAAAAACCTAGTGAGGTAGGTGGTTGATATCCCATTTTCCAAGTGAGACAACCCAGGCTCTGTGTGGCTGCTGACCTCCCTGCAACACTGTCCTTATTGGATCAATGCTCTGTATGCACCCTTTTGTAGCTCTAGGGGCTTGTCCTTATTACAGTTAGTCACTTGTGAGATTGCTTGGTTAATGGATTAACATTTATCTTTCTTCATGATGGCAAAGGCTGCATATTTTTTTTTTTTTTGAGTTGGAGTCTCTCTCTGTCCCCCAGGCTGGAGTACAGTGGCAAGATCACTGCAACTTCCACCTCCCAGGTTCAAGCAATTCTCTTGCCTTGGCCTCCCAAGTAGCTGGGACTACAGGTGCACGCCACCACGCCCAGCTAATTTTGTATTGTTTTTAGTAGAGACGGGGTTTCACCGTGTTGCCCAGGCTGATCGCAAACTCCTGAGCTCAGGCAATCCTCCCACCTCGGCCTCCCAAAGGGCTGGGATTACAGGCGTGAGCCATCGCGCCCGGCCAAGGCTGCATCTCTTTACTCACCATTGTATCCTTGGTGCCTAGTACAGTGCCTAGCACATAGTAGGTCCTCAATAAATATATGTTGACGTGATTAATGGTTAAGTAACTTGCTCAGGTCAATAACTGGGTTAGGATTCAAATCCAGTTCTTTCTGGCACCAAACTTCTCTCCCCTCCCATGTGCCTGCTCATGTGTCAAGAATGGTGCTGTCCAGGTGCAGATCAAATCAGAGTGAAGCATAGACCCTGCAGTCAAACTGCTTACAACCTAATTTGTAAGATGAGATAAATCTAGGTCAAACAAAAGGAGAAGGGTTAAGGCCAAGCTATGAAACACCTGCTAATTCAGAAGGAAGTCCATCCATAGTAAAAGAGAGCAGAAAATACTCCATGAACCAAGGAGCTGATTCCCACCTGGATGGAAGGTGCAACTAGAAGGGAAGGAAACAGGCATTCCAAGTAGAAGGAACAGCTTGAGCAGAGGTGTAGAGGTTGGGCAACCTTGGCATATGCACAGGACGGTGTTATTTCCTTCATGACTAAAGTTCACCGTGCACACATTGGGAAGGAATGAGACAAACAAGGAAGAATGCATTTCATCTTGAGCCGAGGATGGAGGTAACCCTCCCCTGTCTCCACTGATTTAAAAAGACAGAAGCAGGAATCAAGGAATACTCAACAAGAGGCTAGATAGTAGCTTCGAGCTGGCCTCTGCCCACTCCCATCCCCAAGCCACGCTTACAGAACTTCTCTGGCTGTTGGACAGAGAATCGCCATCAGAAGGTGATGAGAGGGAGCCCATTCTTGGAAGCCAGTTGACTGCTCAGGGACCCTCACCCCTAGGGAGGCCTGTCTTTTAGGTCACATAATCCAGGATCTGAAATCCACAGCTTAGGGGCCCGGAAAATTTCATTTTGTCAACATTTGCTGGAAGAATAGAGCAGGATCTGAGAGAGTGGGCTCTGGGGTCAGACAGTCCAAGTCAGACTCAAAGTGACTGGGTCTAGCACTTAACGGCTGTGAGTCGTGTCTCTGGACAAGTTAAACTTTCTGTACCTCATTATCATCATTTATGAAGTAGAGATAACAATACCTACCTCACTGGGTAGTGTGAGGAATGGATGAGATAATTCACACGCAGCATGCATGCTGTGAGCTGCCCATCCACTTCACCGCTTCCTGTGGTTTCTGGGATTCCACTTCCTATGGCTCTTGGTGGAGGGCAGGCCTCTTATTTCTGAAGACAAAAGTGTCTAATGGATTTCCAGCTTCCTTTGCAGCTAAGGCATATGACTAGGCTCTGTCAAAGAGAAGAGGCATTCGTTTAAGACTTTGAATCTGGAGCTAGTGACTAAAAAGATGGAGGCCAAGAAGGGCTCTCTCTGGCGGTGGCATTGGCAAGATGGAGTTCCTGGAGCTGCAGTACCCACAGAGGTGCTGCAGGGTACGTTGATCCGGGGTGCAAGCCCTGCAACATCCTGGGTGCCATCCACGGGGTCTAGGTCTCAGCGGCAGGGGATCCTCCCTGCACTTGTTCTGCAGCCTGACTTTGACGCCATGTCTGGCTTTCTGGCTCTTCCTGCAACTTTATGAGCTACTTCTTTTCCTTTCAGTCCTGGATTTTTCTACTCAGATCAGCCAAGGAGAGTTTCTGTTGCCTGCCATTAAGAGCCCTGACTGATGCAACATTTAGCACAGGAACTGGCATTTGATTATTGCTTAGTAAGTGAATGCTACCTAGGGTCTTTGAGTGTGACCACCATTAATCAAACTCTCAAGAGACTGATGTCTACATCTGGTACCAATGACATAAATTAGGTTGAGCGGTACTCACAAGGGGCACACTTGCCCAGGCTCTCTGATAAGCACGTTCTTTCCCTGCATCACAACTATGGTGTGCTCAAGACTTGGATTCTGAACAGGAGCAAAGAGCTGGAGGCCTTGGGTTCCAGCGCCTTTGAGCAAGAGAACCGATACCCATCATCTCCACTTAAGCCTCAGCCCTGCCTCCTTCCCCAAGAAATGTGGACTCAATACAGCAGGATCCTGACTCTCAGGGACCCTCCTTTCTAGCCCTAAATTTACTACAGAGCCTGGAGGTCCCTAAGCAGACTCAGTCAATCCTCTCCACACCAACACTCCCAAAGGGGACCCTGACAGATCACTCCGCATTTCATCTTTTCTGATCTCATTCTCGCGGGCTCATCCCAACTTTAGGCTTGTGGGAAAGAGTGCTGTAGCTCCTGGCACAACCTGTCCAGGGTCAGACCTGGCACTGAGGCGTCTGCCCTGCTACAAGGGTGGGCTGCTGCAGCAGCAGAAAAACGTGTGCACCAGGCAGAGCAGGGATCACTTTGGAGATGGTGTCAATACCAAGGAGCTCTTGGGATGCCCCTCCCATGCCCAACCCCCAACACATGGCAGCTTAAAGACTAAGAAAACCACCACAGCTGCAGAGACACAGCTCACACCATTCAGCCCTCCCCTCTACCTGCATCCCTCCCCACACCCTGCAGCGGAGCCTCTCAACCTGGAAACTACGAATAGGCTTCAAGGGATCATGAACCCTGCAATTATAGACAACATCTGGTGTGATGTTTCTAGGGTGAGGGCCCAAACCCTCCATGAGAGTCTTTGATTACTTCCCAAAAGGCAAGAGAACCTCTAACTTTACTGGATGGTTTTTTCCGGAAGAACCAAG